ATTTTCTCTTTCCCACCCCCCGGGTTTTTTTTTTTTTTTTTTTTTTTCTTTTCTCCCATTCTCTCCCCCATCCCACAGAGGGAAGGGGGGGTGTGAGCGAGCGGCTGCGTGGTGCTTAGTTGCCAGCCGGGTTAAACCACGACACCTTTCGTGCCTGGTAATCTCAGAATAGACTGATTCCAGCCAGGAGAGGGGCAGGTAGTGAAGAGGATGGGTCGGTGATGTTGATTGGGAATCCTTTCAGCTACAAGGGTTTCTTTGATCACAGTCACCTGTTCCCATTGGAGGGAAGAGGTGTTAATTCAGTTTTAAAAATGCAAAGAGCTATTGATTTGTATTTAAAACCTTTCAAAAGATTTCTTAATGAGCATTACAGTAGCACGGATCCTTTAAGAACTGTATGCATTTGCCTTACAAAATAAAACGTGACAGTATTTTTGTTTCATTAACATTCACACTGTCTCTTCCTTGCAAAATACTTGGTCATCTAATACAGAAGCCACACATTCTAACTGCTCTCAGTTAAATCACTGAGCTTTTTCACTGCAGTCTTTTTCATGCCGCTCACTTTCTTAGGGCTCACTGGAAATGGTACCTGTATTAAACCTCTTGTTACCAGGGACTGAGTCCCAGGTAGATGTGTGTCAGTGTAGCTTTCCCCAGGCACTAAATAAGACTTCTTTTATTTTGAAGAAAATTGTTTAAGGAAAGGAATTATAATGTATGTTGGTACAATATTGACCAGACTGTTCTTAATATTGGTGAGTCGTGGTGGGGTTTCTAAAGGCTGTCACAAGTAGCGTTTTGCCTTGGACAAGCTGGTGTTGGAACTCTTCTTCTAATGCTTCTGGCATGGTGAGATGACTTCTGTAAATGAAAAAGGATCCACTCCTGGGGGGGTGAAATTTTGGAGAGAAGAAATGTTTTGAGACCTTCTGATGATATCTCACATTCCTTGCATGCGTCAGTGTAAAAATCTTGATTCTGTCACACAAATCCATGTTTCCACCCTTCAGTTTATACAGAAATCATACCCTTTTTTTAAATATCTGGCAATAGTTTATGCAGCTTTTAGTTGAATGCCAGATGGAAATCCATGTTCTCAACTAAGCATTTTAGTCACCCTAAATATAGTGCTTCTATCTGTTCTTGGCTGGAATAATGCCATAGAATATAGATTTTTGGGTTGAAAGATGTTGCACAGAAATGAGAGGCAAACTGAAGAAGCACTTTTCATCCCAAATATAAACTGTAATAGAAAAAAATCTGTTTCTTACACCAATGTTAATTACTGAATTAGTGGTCAGTTAGTAAATATGGCTTGTTTTGTATGGAACTCGAGGAGGACAGGTGTTTAAACCTTAGGTATGGATTGGAGAAAACAATCTAAGCATCCCCAGGAGCACCTTATGTTCTCTTATGTGTTGCTGAATTTTTTTTGATCTATAGAATCTCCAATTAGTGGATTTTTCATTGAATAAAATAAAGTAATAATAATAAAAGCATAACAAAAAAACGAAACAAAACTCTCCCTCAAGCCCCCCACCCCATACATACTTAGAAAAGGTATATTGCTAAACCTGTATATTTTAAATTATCTATTTTCTTTCGTACCTTCCTTCCACAGGGAAAGTGAGAAGCTTAAGTTCGTCATTGTGGACACTGACCCATTTGACAGCTTTGCATCTCAGTGACAATTCCTTATCCCGTATTCCTTCAGACATTGCCAAGCTTCACAATCTAGTATATCTGGACCTGTCCTCTAATAAAATTCGCAGTTTACCAGCAGAGCTCGGAAACATGGTGTCACTCAGGTATGTAAATGTTAACAGGAGTTCAAATTGTTCTCTTATTGTCTTTGTAGCAACAGTTTAAATTTCAGCCTAATTTTTACATTCTAGTAAATGAACAGCCTAAATAAATTCCCCCTTCCTCACTACTTTTGATGTGTCTCCCCGAACACTAGGTGTGGTCTGTGTGGCTACAGTGATGCTGGCTCTTCCGTGATCTCCTGTTCCGATGTGTGACAGGGGGAATGAGCTTCAGAAGTGCTCAGTTGGATAGCAATCACCCATTTTATGTTTTTCCAAGTCAGGTTTCCTCTCTTATGCATCCCTTCCCAGACTCTTTTACAAATCTCGATGTGGCATTTTTCTCTAAGAAATAGACACACATAAAAAATTGCTTTTAACTCATCGTAAGGTAGGAAAAAGGTCAGATTAAACATAACCACGCTAACTACAATTTTTTCATCTGTATTCATCTTCAGTAATTATTCTTAATGATAGCTCTTATTATGTTTATTTTATAACAACTGCAACTTGTCTAATATCATCTCCTTCCCACCTTTGCTACCACGTAGCTGCATTCCTGTGCAAACTGGGGAAGAAAATGTTCTAAATGCACCTTTTTTTTTCCCCCCCTCAATTTTCAGTGCCACATGTGCAAAGTTTGCATGGAGTGATAACCTCCTTTTGGAAGCGAAGCATGAAAAGTGATGCCTATTTAGACTATAATTAAGGCTGTAGCATTTCACTTTGTAAAAACACTGTTATGTAAATATATAAATGACTTTATGTAAAAGTAAAAATTATTTACAGGCAACATTCTTTTGCCCTTGACCCAAAGGAAGAGCCTTATCTTGGGTTTATTAAACAGTCACCAGTAATTGCCTTAATTGCTTTTAATTTCGAAGATGTTTATGGACAGCTTTCTCAAATCTAGAAGACACCAAGTCTAAAAGTAATGAGAAAGTCGTTACAGGTAAAGACAACGATAATAGCAGAATCGGCTGCCAGTGCAGCTTTAATGGGACGGGAAGCAAAGCAAGTTTGCACATGGAAATACCAGTAGTTGCATTTTCTTCTGCTTTAGGAAAGTCCACTCTGCTGGGGAGGATTAAACTAGCTGATTAAATTGGTACTAGAAGCTCAGAGTCCAAAGCAGTTACAGTCTCAACCTTGGAGGCCGCGCACAGTGACATTGCCTTTTGGAGCATAGTCGGCAGCTCTGGTTTGTAGTGGTGTGTAGTTGTTCTCAGCTGTGAGGCAGTCTTCTAAAGAAAGCTTTGTGTTGCTGTTTCAATTAAAAGCAGTTGTTATTGTCAGGTTCCTTCCTTTATCCACTCCTCAGGTATGCTGAGCTAGCAATCAATTTACTGGGATGTTCTCAAATTCATCTTTGTGCTTCATTAGCATCCTTCTATTTTCATCAGTCTTTTTCCTTTTAAAATACTGCTGTAAATGTAATACTCATGGCATGGAGTTAGCTTAGCGCTGTATAGTCATCGGTAGTGTCAAAAGATAGTGTGCCTTCTTCCTGACACTTTTCCCAGTTACGCTGGCTGATTCTATGAAGCTTCAGCTCTTCCAAGTCCCAAGTATCTTCTGAGCAGAGAAGGCTCAATCTTGTGAGTGTGAAAGGTGGAGCTAAGGTCTAGGATCACAGTAGCTTTCTAGTTGTGACCTGAACATAATGCTTGAATCCAGATCTCTAGACATGAAAAGCCAGTGCATTCATCCGCTGCACTGTCCTCCGTGATAGTAGCTGATCCATGACTTCTTTTCACTGGGGTGGAAGTGAAGAAAAACCCGTAAGTGCATCCTACGTGATGGTGCTGTGCTGGAGTTCTGTGTTTCAGGCTGGCTCTTGCTGCAGACACTTCCCATGGCTTCTGGGGAGCTGTTTAAAGTAATGGTAATTCAACACTGGGCATTGCTGATACCCTGTGCCACAGAAATAATTCGTGCTTTCACACTTGAGAACTGATAACAGGTCTTCCAGCTCCCACATCTGGAGCTCTGGGTTTGGTCTGTATGGCAAAGCTCACCTAAGACTCCTTGCATCTACCTTTTTACTGCAGGTACTTGAAGAAAGAGGTGTCAGAGAGAGCAGTGAGATTTCTGATCTTTGTGGAAAGAGGAGAAAGAATAAGCACTGTAAGATGTTATCTTGGAAAGCTCAGCTGTAAAACATTCTCTTGATGTGCTTGAAAGAGCTGTGTAGAGGGGGCGGGCTCCACGGAGGCAAGGATCATTAGAGAAAATCCAAGGGAGAAGGTGTAGTGATACCTACTACCATGCCATTCTTCCAGCTTGGTGTTTTTCCTCTAGAACAATTTAGTACAGTTTTTTCTAGTCCATACATAACTTCTTTTAGACTTCAGCAGTGCTTTGAAAGATGCTTAGAGGAAAAAGTAGCTTCCTAAAGGATAAACTATAGCTTTATCACATCATACAGAATATCATCCCTAAAAACAAAGCCATTTACATTTCAAATCTCTATGGAAGTGCTGAGAACTAGTGGAGATGACTTTTTTTTTAACACACACACACACACACACACACACACACCCCTTTTCTACCTGCCATGTACCTCATTGTGCTGAGAACTAGTGGAGATGACTTTTTTTTTTTAACACACACACACCCACCCCTTTTCTACCTGCCATGTACCTCACTGATACTTAGAAACCCTAGAATGCCACAGTGGGCTTCTGAGTTCCTCTCTAAAATATGTGCTTTTGTCTATGGGATTTTATATTGGAAAAAAAACAACACACACACCCCCGTGGGCTAGGTGTGTTATAGTCTGGTAATCAGTTGAGTAATGACTTGACATCTCTAGATAACCCAGTGCAATAAAAAGTAAGTCCCCTCCTGTATCTTCCACTATTCCACACCCCAGAGGCTCTATAAAACAAGCCACTTCACTTTTACCAAGGTTTCTGAGTACACAGTGAACAGAGAATGGCTCAGAAGCCCTTGTTGGGGAAGGACCAGGCAGAGGTTACTCTGCATGGCTAGAAGAAGAGTCGTGTCTCTTTGCTTCAAATGCTGTCTTGCAGAAATCTAAAAGAGCTGAGGTAATTCTGAGCATCCAGGTTTCCTTTCTTTTTTTTTTTCTTTTTTTCCTTTCTCCCTTTTTTGTTGCCCACAATACTTTTCAAGTCCCTAGGCACCAAGTTGTACACACTTTGAAGTAGCAACTTTTATATTGAATATGGCAAGGAGAGTCTTCACTACTTGGATAGGAATGCATTTCAGACAGACAAAAGCTTCTAACAAGTCCATTTTCCCTGCCCAGTTCTGTGGGATATCAGAATTCAGGACATGAGTTCTGTTCCTTTCTGCATATTGTTTTTGTAAGTTAAAAAGCATGTATTTTGCCTTAACACTGAAATTATGGGGGGGGAAAAAAAATGCAACAGAAAATTACTGTTGTAAATTACTATCACATGGTAATGTCATAGCTCTAATTGTGCTACCATGGTCTTGGATTTTTTGCTTACTTGTTTTCTGGGATATAATTTCCCTTTATTTGGCCTTTAATCATAGCCGAACTGTTTCATGGTCTGGTTTGTCAGAGCTGTTACTGCTTCATCACTTGTAGTTATTAAAGTACTTAATTATTGCTAATGTTTACAAAATTTCTGACTTACTAAGATAAACTCGCCAGCTGCTTTCCTCTGTACTTCCATGTAATGTGCATTTTACCCATGTGTGTGAGCACAGCAGCATCTCCCGAACCGTTGCTGTTGAGTCTTTGAGCTCTGCACTCCCCCGGTTTGCTGGTATATGGTTTCTCGTTTCGTTAAACCGCTCGTACTATACTGCTGAAGACAGATGCTGGTCTGTTTTCAGCCCTGTATGATTCTTGCTCTGTCTACAGGGAACTACATTTAAATAACAACCTGTTACGAGTTTTACCTTTTGAGCTGGGAAAACTGTTCCAGTTACAGACTCTGGGTCTGAAAGGTATTGCCGCTTTTTCTTGGTATCCGTGCTTTGTTTAATGATGCCGCTTCTGAGATGTAATGGCTGTAGGCTGCTAGTTCATAAAATGTTACTGAATAGCAATCCCAGGTGTAGCTACCTATGCCACATTTATAAATATTGTTATTTAGGGATTATTTAAAAAAAAATTTGGTGAAGCACTGAAGGTATGAGGAGGCTTGCTTCTTTCTGCAGAGCGAACAGGAGCTTTCTGTTGCTTGCATAGGAGGTGAACACAGTGCTGCTTAGCTAAGAAATAATCTGCAGTTAACTGTGGGTGTTCAGCTCCAACCAAAAAGGGAATATGCTTTGTACTGCTGTAGGGTACTGTGCTGTTTATGCAAGCAGCAATTTAAATCTTTTTTCCATTTTTTTTTTTCTCTGAAGTGTATGGATTCTAGCTATAAAATTGCTGACCTCGGGGGAACTTGTATCACAAAATCAGGACCACTGAGTGATGCAATGCCACTAAGCACTTTTAAGTCTCAAAAGTCTTTTTTTTTCTCCCCCTTAAAACTGGATAATTGCAATGTGCACTGTCCGTGAAAACTTGTACAGTCTGCTTATGCGCTTGGCAGATGGTAGGCACTCCACTCGGGTATGACTGAACATCATACAGATAGACTGGTGGTGGATGTGATGCTCACGTCGAGCAAAGCGAGCAGAGGTGGCTCCTGTGTTCGGCCGCATCGGCTCTGCCGGCACGTTGTGCCATGCCAGTTCTTCACTCCTGTCAGATCCAGCGACCGCCGGGGGCTGGTCGGTCAGAGGACAGGCGCAGCAGGGAATGTGGTTGGCTTCACTACAGCTCTCCACACTTCTCGTGCTTTGTGGGATTGGAGACCTGAGATTTGAAACCTCTTAAGTAGTTTATAGTAGGTGCAGTGTATGCTCTCAGAGATGCCAGCTTTAAACACTGATGTGTAAGTTCATAATGGCTTTGTTTATTTTATTCAGTACTTCCATAAATGTGTTTGCAGGAAATCCACTTACACAGGATATTCTGAACCTTTATCAGGAACCAGACGGGACACGAAGGCTACTGAACTATTTGCTTGATAATTTGGCAGGTACTGCAAAAAGAAGTAAGTGATCATTCTTAAAATACTTATTTCTGCTGCGTTAAAAAAGAAGAAAAAAAAAAAAAAGATTATCACTTGTATCTCTAAAATGTTCCCATAGTTTCAACAGAACAACCACCTCCAAGGTCTTGGATTATGTTGCAAGAACCAGACCGTACAAGACCAACAGGTATTGTAACGCTTCTCTACTATTTTTTTCCCCCCTCCCCTGTTATAAAAGGTGTGGATCTTCACTAGCTGTTTAAAAATTTCCAGTTTAAATTAACCAGTTGTCTGTGCATGCCGACAGCCAGCTGAAGTAGTTCTGTGCCCATTGGAACACCCGCTCCAGATTTACCCATCTCTTACTGTGAAGTAGAATCACAGGATCACTGAGGTTGGAACAGACCTTTAAGATCCTCAAGTCTAACCGTTACCCCAACCCTGCCATCCCACCACCAAGCCATGTCCCTAAAATAATTTCTTTTTAATTAACATCTTCCTCATAGGAATTGAAACTGTTGTCCACAATTAGTTAAATCGTTGAATTATAGCAGGCTTAACTGAACGTTTGTTGAAAAGTAAGGAAATGGAAGAACAGGAGCATCATTTCCCAAAAATGTAGACTTTTTTTCTTTTAAGTAACCAGTGTATACTCGGCACTTTTCCTGTTGGGATTCAGGTCACGTTTAATTGTTTACTAATTTTTTCTGCATGAGTTGTCTAAAATACAGCCTTTTCTGTTTACCTGCACACCAAAAATCTTGGTGTATTTCTCAGTTGTTGCAGCGTCCTCTCTGTCAGGGCTGATGTACATTACTTTCCCCTATTAATTTTATTAAGGCGGCTGCTTCAGAGATCATGATGTTAATGCAGCTTGTCTTTTGCTATCACCTGCTTATTTTCAAAATGCTGGGCTTTGACCCCCAATCAGCCCGAGGTTGTTGCCTCAGTTTGCTAAATCTTCAAACAAGCTCTTGTTTCTTTTTCCCGAGCTGTACGCCACGTTTGAGAGGAGCTCCCAATAAGCTCAAAGTGTCTCATGATTGTACTGCAAATTCCTTAGAGCTTTTTAAAGACAAACAGCAAAACCAAAAATCCATGCCGCTGGATTGCTTGTCACGTTGCCCCAAACGGTCTCATTATCGCTCCTGTTCCAGATAAACACAGAGAGCAGATGTTTCTTGCCTTTACACCTGAGCTGCAGGCTTTTTGAGGTGGAAACATCGGGGGGGGTTGTTTTGCCTCACTTTTCCATTGTGCGAAGGGATCCTTACCCTGCCTGCAGATCTGTTACAGTCTGTGGCGGTAATAATTAAGGTGTGTTTTGAATAATCTATCTGAAGAGTTTGCAAGTCTCTGTAGAGCTGACAAATGTAAGTGTTCAAATACACTTAACCTTGTTCCCTGTTTCACAGGAGAGCACCACTCAGCATAAAGTAGATGACCTCTAGGGGTCCCTTCCAACCCAAAACATTCTATGATTCTATGATAAACTATGTTTGTCTGCTATTTACTGCATCAACCATATAAAGAGGGGGATTTGGTTTTATTTTCCAATTAAAAGCTAGACAACTTGTAATTTCTCTTCTGTGGAAGGACTAACAATTTTTGTCATACAGACACACATGCTGTGCTTCGGTTGAAGCAAATGAAGCATAAATGGATAAATTTGCAGAAGACAAAAGTGAAGAATATAATTGTATAATGTTGTTGTTTAAATGTATCAGTATGTAAGTAAAATTATTGTTCTGCAGCCTTGTTTTCTGTCATGTGTTACAACGTACTCTGTGATAAATATGCTACCCGGCAGCTGTATGGCTATTGTCCATCTTGGGCATTGAACTGGGAATACAGAAAAAAAGCCATTATGCAGGAAATCCTGAGCTGCAACGCTGACATCATAAGTCTTCAGGTAAAAGATAGACTGTTAGTTCTTTTCCTTTTCTATTCCCACGTGCTGGTTTCTCTCTATTAAATGTATTTGCAGTGAATAGTCTGTTTTCAAAACTTCCTGAAAACAAAAGAAAAAACGAAGTGGTGTTTAGAACATTATTTGTTGCTTGACATCAAAAGAATGCTTTCCAGCCCACGCAGCTGGAACGTGGGCCAGCAGCTGCTGATCAAAGACGCGTACGTGGGGGTGTCTTTCTGCCCGTGCGTGTATGTGGGGCTATAATTGACACATTTTCAAATAAAAGGCTTGAGATAATCAGGACTCTGGGGATCACAGAAATTCATTTATATTTTCTTAAAATAGGGATATTGCTCTCAAATTTGCATTCTCTGATGTACTTAATTCTTACAATTTTTTTCCCTTTAAATCTAATTTGGAAGTGATTTACACTTCTGAAGAGTCTGAATAGCATGGGTCTCTGTATTTTGGTAATAGTACATTCATGCTGTGCTGTCTTATAACTTTACAGGAGGTCGAAACGGAACAGTACTACAGTTTCTTCCTGGTAGAATTGAAAGAGCGTGGCTACAACGGATTCTTCAGTCCAAAATCTAGAGCTAGGACAATGTCAGAACAGGAAAGGAAACATGTCGATGGTTGTGCAATATTTTTCAAAACAGAAAAGTAAGTGACGTGTTTTGCAAAGCCTTCCATTGTGTCTTGCGCTCTCTCACGTAATTTCTCAGGTCAGTCTGTAGCTCGATCAGTTTGGCATCCCTCGCCCTCTTTGGCCGTTCAGTGTTTCTTACAGAGAGTTTTGCCAGAAAGGCTATGAGGGAAATCATTCCGTGCGCAACTGGCAATAGAAAATTTCACCCTAAAGTGGTGTTTAAGATGAAATTCCATTTTGTTAGAGCAATGCAGGTTAGGAGTTCATTAGATTAAATTCAATTGTTGAGTGTGTTGTGTCCCAAACATTAGTTGTTAATAATGAAAAATGTAACAAATGTCTTATTTCCTTGCTTATTTTTGAGTAAAGGAATTGATAATCCCCAAAATTGCTGAAACAAGACCTCAAATGACTTTTTTTTGATACATCAGCCTTCTGATAAAGCAAAAGCAAAGGGCACTTAATATCACTCCTCGCTTTTGGAAAAAAAGCCGTTATTTAAGAGCTGCAGCACTTCTGGACTGTGTCATATTGTACTCGCACAACTGTTTGGATATGAGGGTAATATTTCCCTTTCTCCTCCTGCCTCCATTGCTTTGTGACCACAAGTAAATGTAGGTGCCAGGTTTGATACCATTTGGCTCGGAAAAATGTAGTCCCTTGCTAATTAAACCTACATCTTGGAAGCAGAGACTAGTGCGGAATTGGAAACGAGCGCTCCTGTTCTGCTGTCTCTGTCAGGCACTATCTTGCTCTCCCACCGCCCATCTTCAATTTAAACTAAGTTAGAATAAAATATCTAAAAATCCCTAGGAAATCTATCCTTAGAGTTCAGCGTAGGATTTTGTGAAATCATGTGATTAGCTGAGATTTTCACATCATAAATGTGTGTGAGCTTTTTAATTAAAAGGAGAATTATCTGTAACGTTTGCTTTTGTGTCTGACTGCTGCGAAAAACATACGGTGTTTCTTTTTCAGATTTACTTTGGTTCAAAAACATACTGTTGAGTTCAATCAACTAGCCATGGCAAACTCGGAAGGTTCGGAAGCTATGCTGAACAGAGTTATGACAAAAGACAACATTGGAGTCGCTGTATTGTTAGAACTGCGAAAGGAATTGATAGAAATGTCATGTAAGTCCTATTTAGTTTCTTTTTTTTAATAGATTGTATTTTGTTAATGAAAAAATTGTCTTTTGCTGTGAAGATCTATTTTCTTCCGCTTATACCCTTTTGCTTAAAAAATACAAAGACTTGAGTTTGAGTGAATTTTTTTTTTTTTCCTGGGAGTTATGTGCAGGTATGGGAGCCCACTGGTGTTAGTCACGTGTCTCTGTACCGTGGATCTGCATTGGTTTAGCTTGTTATTTTCTTCACTGTCATGCTTATACAACCTGCTTGTTCTGCCCTGTAATTCTTAATTTAGGAAATGTAAATTGGCTTTATGAGTATCGCAGCAGGTACTACTCAGTCTGTGTTATGCTTATCCCAGTGATATTTTATTAATTCGGATTCTAACAAACAAGCCTTTTAAGAAGCAACTTACAACATGGATAACTTACAATTCAGAGCTCATTGCCTAATAGAAAACATGAGCAGTGCCTGTTGACCATCACAACCTGAGGAAAACTGTTGATTTTTTTTAAGCTATACTATTTGTCTGTCACTATGATTATCTGTTGCTTACGTAATTCACAGTGTTCTTAAATATGTAAGCATTACCTGTAACAGGACAGTCTGCCTGTTAATGGTCTTGTGAAACACAATAATTCCTAACACTTTATATCCCCTGAAACACGTAGTAGATGTAAGAGGAGTTGTATGACCCTCTTAAACCAGACGGTATTAACCCTCTTCATGTTACACTGGTATTTTATTTTATTTTTTCCTCCCCTCAAACATCTTGTTTAAAGTTTAATAACTGTTTTTGTTGCTGACCATGTAAGGTAAATAATTGATTTTAAATTTTAGCTGGAAAGCCACATCTTGGGATGGAAAAGCAGCTAGTTCTTGTAGCTAATGCACATATGCATTGGGACCCCGATTATTCTGATGTGAAGCTGGTTCAGACTATGATGTTTCTGTCCGAGGTAAAGAACATTATAGATAAAGCTTCTCGTAGTCTCAAACCTGGTGTTTCGGGAGAACTTGGAACCATTCCACTTGTACTGTGTGCAGATCTCAATTCTCTACCAGACTCTGGTAAGAGTTCTACTTCTTATGGTTTTTTAGACTGTTTCAAGTGTGTAACCATTTAAAGGTCCTGCTTTTTTAAAGGAGTTTTCAATGTTGTTTGCTATCATAAGTTCTAAAGGTACTAAGAAGGTGGAAGGAAGAGAGAAGAGAGAACAGTTTCTTCAGCGAGTGACCTGTTGCCTGTGCAGTAGTACCGCTACGCCTGGTCTTCCAGAAGCATTTTCATTGTTAGCTTACACTATGGGATGGAAAGGAGGAAAATATCTTTCAAAAATAACTTGTCAATTTGGCTTTGCAGCCTCTTTACAGTTAACATTATCTGAAGTAGTGGTACAAAAGTTGGCTTTTTTCAACATCTTAGCTGAAGAATGATGAAAGCCAAGACTTGAGCAGGGAGATGAGGTGAACGCTGCCTACCTAGCACCTATAGAATTCTACTTCTGCTTTTTTCATCTTCCCTGCCCCCCCAGTCAGCCTGTTCCTAATTAACTCTTTAGTTTTCTCTAATCAAAGCATGCATGTCTGGTTTTGTTCTAGGTGACACTTGCTCTTACATGTGTATACATTACCTTGAAAAATTTTATAAGAACTACTGCTGATTGTATTGTATTAAGGCTTTGCTGCTATGATGTGTAAGGTTGCATGTATGACTCAGTCATCTGCTGAATGCTTGTTAATACCTTGTGTGTTTGTGTGTCGCTCTCCTAATAGGTGTTGTTGAGTACTTGAGCACTGGTGGAGTGGAAACAAACCACAAAGATTTTAAGGAACTGAGATACAATGAAAGTCTTACTAACTTCAGCTGTAATGGGAAAAATGGAACAACAAATGGAAGAATTACCCATGGTTTCAAGTTGAAGAGTGCCTATGAGAACGGTCTAATGCCTTACACAAATTACACATTTGACTTCAAGGTAAGGACTTGGCTGATATTTTGGAAAAGTTTTCCATTTTGAAGTGTAACTAACGTGATCTACTGTACAAAGCTGTTCAACAAAGTTAATCCGTTCGGGGAGCTAACAGTAAATTCACTAAGTCTATATTTAAAACATAGCAAACTAGAGTGCCCAGCACTTCAGCCTCCTAGAAACCAAGCTTCCCTTTTTCTTGTTAGTAACTTGTAATAGACTTGCAAGAGTTGGGGTGCTGCTAACCTTCCCTGTAAATAGAAAGATTTTGTATTTTATACTCCAAGCTAAACGAAACGGTAGAGCAGGGGCACTTCAACTGTCAACTGCAAGGAATAATCCATGTTGCTGCTGGAAAACTCTCAGGGCTCTGTTGCCCAGGGGAAGCAGAGTTGGCTCTCTTCCTCTTCAAAATCAGAGGAATGTGATTTGAAGCTTTGCAGGAGGTTGGATATTACAACCCACGAAAGCACAGCAGAAGCAATGCTTTTGTTTTCCTCATCTGTATTGAGCCACCCATGGGGTATAGGAAGCAAAAGTCTCCTAAGCTGATGATGTGCTGTGGAGAAGGAATGGCAGCGTTTCAGTTACTCGCAGTACTGAGCTCACCTTTTGTTTGGAACAGTACCTTGAGTCAAGAATATATACTAATAATCGATTGTTTCCTTTCTTGTTGTAGGGTATTATTGATTACATCTTCTACTCTAAACCTCAGCTAAACATACTTGGCATTCTCGGACCTTTGGATCATCATTGGTTAATAGAGAACAATATAAGTGGTTGTCCACACCCACTCATCCCTTCTGACCACTTCTCACTTTTTGCACAACTGGAGCTTTTGCTGCCTTTCCTGCCTCCTGTAAATGGAATCCATCTCCCTGGCAGGAGGTAGTCAAGTACATTTTTAGAGGGCAACCTCGATCTAACTTGTACAATTGTAAAATCTGAATATAGAGGAGTGAGGTATGGCCAACAGGGATTTTTTTTTTTCCTTAATAATCTTAATCTTAAATCTAATTATTTGCTAAAGACATAGTAAAAGCCAGGTGCTATCAACAGACACAATTCTGAGCCCAATGTTCTTTGTATACTGTTCAACAGCGACCGGTGCATTTGCGCCGTTCTTTAATACGTTACAATTAACCTTCCTGTTTCCTTTATCCAACGTGACGTTTTCATGCCTTGAAATAGGGAATTGTTATACAGTATATTCTCTTTGCACAGTTATCTGTAGCACTACTTTTTGAGGCCAGTAGGAACATCCACAGAACATTCTTCCATACTTCACTCCCTCCTTTTTCAGACTTGTTTGTAAAATATAGAATTTGAATTTAGCCTTTATTGATTGTATATGAACAACAGAAAACCTGATTTATGAGATTTTGTACTTTAAAAAAAGAAAAATCAGATTTGGAAAATGATTGTATTGTAAACTAAGGCTAAATTTTTATCTGTTTTCATGTGTTATAAAGGCCAGCTTGTAAAAGAGGTTGTCACAGGCTTTCTCTGCTAATGATTTGCACTGTTAGGGTTTCGTTAGCCCTTTTGTACTACTTTTTATGTTCAATTGAGAACATTGCTTTTAAAATCCAAACCTGTAAAATCTTAATATCTTACAGAGATAACTAAATAAGTTCTGTCTGATTTAAAAAAAAAAAAAAAAGGAGAAAAGCATAGAGTTCTCGCAGAGCAGATAAAAGCTGAGCAGTGAGTATAAGTAGACCTGTATGGATTGGAAGTTACTGCCAATGGGTATGCACTCGGATATTTTTCTCATCTCTAACTTCTGGAGTAAAATTTAGGGATCCTTGTGTACAGCTTCTTCATTTCTGTTTTAAATACTTGTTCTATCTCCACTGTGCCTGCTTGAATTTGTTCTCAACTAGCACTGCCTGTGCATGCAGAGAGATCCTGTGCATCCTCTTTTATTTTTTTAAATAATGTTAACACTTGTGAAAATTTTATGAAGATACTTTTGTATAAGCTGTGGCATCTTTTTTCCTTTGTGAAGCATTGAATATCACACTTTTTGAACATGTTCAGGTTATGGGTACACCGTTGTAGCTTCTAATACCCACGCACTGCTTCTCTCGGTGTCATTGCACAGTGCCGTTTTTCCCACTAAGAATTACTATCATGTGAATTCTCTTCAGTTTAAGTGTGTTCCTCAGTTTCAGAAAGTATAATTCCTTGAAGAAGAAAAACCAAGCCTACACTTTCTATTGATGAAGCAGTGTAAAATAAATGCATTTTCAATACAGGTCCCAAAGACAATTCTTCAGATCATTTTTTAAAGTGACCAAGTCTTATTTTAAAGTGTCAAGCAAGACTAAAGTCATAGTGTACCCTCAGTGCCATTTGTGTCATGAAGCCAAGTATAGAACAGCTTACAAATTTAACTTGTCTGTTTGTATCCTAAACAGGAGAGTTTATTATCTCCTTAAACTATTACAGCTTGAATAATCAATGTAAAAAAGGAAAAGGAAAAAAAAAAAAAGAAAAAGGAGATAGAGCTTGGTCTTAAACAGCTTTTGTTTCAGCTGCGGGCAGGGAAGCAAAAGGACACTGAGCATTAAGAGAAAACTTTCTAAATATTGTGAATTTTTATATATAAGAGAATGGATTGGTAATAATGATACAAAATTTTATTGAGAAGTAGTTGGCACATCAGTGTGCTCAACCCGTCCTGTTTTAAGCTGAAAGTGAGAATGACAAACAGGTTGGGTGTGTAAAATGTACATTTTAAAATTTCAGTAGGAGAAATTGTGATCTTGAATCCTTGTCTGGGACCTGATCTCTTGGGGTTATTTTGGTTTTGTTTTAGTTGTGAAAACACCAAACATGTCCAGTTTATGATCAGTACATTGAAATGCTGGTAGTATTGCTGTAGTAGACTTAATGCGTAGTGTTATTTTTTTCTGTTTGTTTTTTTGGGTTTTTTTGTAAAGTGTGAATAAAAGGTGTTTTACTCATGTTTCCTTAATGATGTCTTGGTAATGTACATCATGACAATTTCCAGTGATGATGAGCCAGTTTAGCTCGTCAGGCTGAGCAAACTATTTTTCTTTGATTATCTGGATTGTGTAATGAGTCCAGAAAGCTTTACAGAAGGGGAAGGGAAGCACTTACTCATTTTGTATTTCTTAGAGGGGGATAATTTACTTTAATAGATGCTGGAGCTTGAGTGCACTTGTTAGATTTTAAAGGTTTGAGCTTTATCCAATATGTGTTCTCCTGTATTGCTTAGTCTTAAAGATTTGAACTTAGGACAGCATGTTAAAATACGGCCCCTTGTGCTTTTGGAGACACAACTGTTCCTGCTTCGTCACCTTACAGTCTAAGGGTCCCTTTAGATCACTGTTCCCTCCAGCTTTGACGCTAGTCCATCAGGTCCTGGCTGAAATCCCACTGGATGCGTTGAAGACACCCCTTTGACTTCAGTGGGATTTCACTGGACTGCAGCTATGGCTCGGGGGCTGAAGGAAGGAGAAATATTTTGTTTTTTGGAAAGACCAGATGGCACCAAAACAGAGCTGAGATCAACTTTGTCAAACAATCTGTCAAGGAAAACATACTCCTGTGTCAAACAAATCTAACTCAAACATCTCAATTTCCAGCTATAACATAGAACAAGGCAATAAACCGTGTCCTCACAAAATCAGAATGTTTGCTTCATAGTTTTTAACATAAAATGGTTATTTGCAATATTTTTATTCGAGGTGATTTTGGGTGTTGCCATAACGTACCTTCAGTGTTCTTGTTGTAAAAGCACATATAGCAAAAGTTACAGGACATCCGTGGGGTCGGAAGGATTTATTTAGGTTAGACCAGGCTTTTTCCCACTTAAAGTACAGTCAGCCATATCTTGTCTGGTTTTATTTACGCTTACCAGGAATTCTGGGTGTCAAAGTGTAAATCAAAATATACCTTTAACTAAAAGAATGGGTTAGAGTGCAAGACTAATACCACAAGTTACTGCTTTTAACATACACGGGGGGGGCGGGGGGGGGGGAG